AAACATAACTGGACTGAATTTGCACTGTCTCTTGGAGTTCCTTGGGCTAGGCCTGACATCATGCAGTTAATAATTTTCTTACCATATTAAAAATTGCACTTGGACGATAAGATGTTTTGGAGGGATGTCTGGGGGAGACCCAGGTCTTCCATTGCTGCAATACGCAAGGGAACTATAGAATGAAGCCTCTGTACATCCTACCTCTCCATGACTCACCATTAATGTCAACTTGCAACATGGAACACAATTTAAATTTTTTACCATAGATATATTAAAGTTTCCCCATCCTCTCTCTTTAGGATGGGAATTTCTTGATACAAAGACATGTCTTCTTTGTTCCTTAGGCTAAGCACCTTCAGCAGCCAAGAGGGCTGAAGAAATCAAATAATTCCTGAGATACTTCTAGGCTTCCCAAAGGCAGGCATATTCTAGCTTTGGAATGGGAAGAGGGGTAGACTGGACAGCCTGGCCACGGGGATCAGATGGCTATAAGCCACTTACCCACGAGGGCTCGGTCTATGATGTGGATGGCAATTGTCATGAGAGTCCAGCACTTGGAGCAGATGTCTGCAGAGCTGAAGAAGACAAGACAATTCCTAGGTGTGTCATGAAGGGAACTTACAAGATCATGTAAAAATTACAGTCAGTACAGTCTTGAATTCTCTTCCATCCCATCAGTATGGCCAATAGTGAAGATGGGATTTGCAGTGCCACACTATAATTTAGGCAATTCATGCTGTACCATTAGGCATACTTACCTGTAAGTGCACTAATCAGAATGAGCTTTATTTCCAAGTACACATGCACTGGTTTGGGTTGCATATGTTGACTAAAACATGTTGATTAAAAAAAAGAAAAAAGACAGAAAAGCAGAACAAGGATGCCTTCCCACCAATTCCAGTTAGTCACAATATTACGATTTTTTGGAATTAAAAACAAATACCTTCATTATTTTCAAGCTGTCTTGGACAGCTTGTGTGTGGCAGAATTGTTACCTTGAGATTTTAAAAACAAACACAGATAAACATAGCTGGGAATGAGAACTCTCTGTTCAGAACGGGAAGATCTCAGATTCCTAGATGCTACTGGCAACACAGGCAGCCATTTTTATTATCTTGCCTCCTGCGTGTTGTCATAAAATTGTAATAAATCATAAAGTTTGAAATCAGATACAACAATCCCTCATATGTTTGCTTGAAAAGATGTGCAGTGGGGTTTGCTTTTGAGAAGTATTTACAACGCTATGGCTCAAAGTGGCCCTACGGCCCTCTTTATTGTTCAGAGAACCAACCTTCTTGTAGCTCAGAGGAATAGAGGCTTTGCCAGGAAGGGTCATTTCAAAGATCTATAGACCCAAGTACAGCACATCATGTTCTCCGTGTGCAATACTCTCCCCATTACAAACTGGCTAATGAATATCAAATCATTATCCCAGAAAGATAAAGGTACCTGCAGCATTGCCTAACATCATCGTAATCTGTCAGGTCTATATCAAACACCAGTTCTTTCTCCTGAGCTTGGAAAGCACCCATGTGAACAGTGTTATGCTGGATAGGCTGCAAGAAACAACAAAAGCAACCCAGAATTAGCTCGAGTAATAACATCTTACTGTAGTTTATAACTTAAATTTCATTGCTTCATAACATTTCAGGCTTCTGCAATTCTTTGTTTAAAAATGCTTGGCCACTGGTGTGCTCTCAAGTCATTTTTAGCCACTCAAATGGCAAATCTCAGAGGAAAGTCTCGAGGTCTGGACAGGCAGTATTCAGGAATGGCTGCAAAGAGATTTTTCAGAGTCACTGGCTCCTTGAATAACAATTGTTTGAGGAAACTATTCCCTCCAACTGAAATATGGGAATAAGTTGTCATAAGGAATGATAAATATTGCAAGATTATACAAGATGACTGCAAAGCCTTTTCTAAATTCTTGTATTAAGATTATAAAAGGTTAATTAGGGTACTACCAAATGCCTGCTTTCTCTATGTGTCCTAATATATTTGTGAGTAATAAACACACAGATGTTCTGGCAACACACAAAGGCAGCTTTCATCTGTTAATCACCACAGATTTAACACATTAGTAACATCAGCAAGAATTGTAAAGCTGATTCTGTGGTTTGTTTTGGTTTAGCATTACGTTCAAATGGGCTTCATGAATGGCTTACTTTCATTACTTTTTTAGGGCAGTAAATCACAGTTTATTGCTGGCTACTGGTTACAACAGCGGCTTAACGTGATGAACTAATTATGATAGTTTTTGATTTCCTGATTTGTTCTTGATCCATGCAAATCTCAAAATAATCCGTAAGAAGTACAGGAGTGGAGCAAAAATAAAGCCAGAGTCGGTCAAACAAGCATTGTCACACCAAGTCTTAATGTGATGCTTGAATATAACACAGAAATCTGTCAGAAATACTGTATATACTCGTTATAAGCCCATCCGCAGATAAGCCGACTCTCAAAATGTTCGTATGTTTTAATTTTCACAATTGGCTTATCCACAGGTGGTACATTTTTAATGGTATTTTGGTTAAAAATTCGAGGGTCTGTTTATCTGCAGACAGGCTTATCTGGGAGTATATATGGGATATACTCAGGGAAAAAACTGAGGGAAAAACCTACTGTATGTACCAGCGATGGCAAACCTATGACACACGTGTCAAAGGTGACATGCCAGCATTTACTAACACCTGACAACAACTATTCTCCCTATTTGAGTTACTGAAGAAACTGAGTTTGTTTTAC